GTGATGAAGCAGGCGGTATATCACAGTAGGACACTCTCTTCTATTATCTACTCTTGATTTGAGGTGCTTAGTGCTTAGTGTATTAATAAAATTCATTTTTAAATACTTTGAAATTTGAGCTGTATCCTCTTAAATAGCAAGACCTTTGATCAAGTTTCATATTGTTTTCTGTTAGCAAGTATTAAAATTACATAAACTTATTGAGATCTGATTAATCTATGAGGGGGTGTGTGGGATCTTAAATAGTTCAAATTTTATTCACTTTAGTACCGAAACGTGTTAAACCTTATTAATTTTTTTATTGAGCAATATTAATATGACACTATTTCATGAATCTTATTTATTAAATATTATAGCTACATTGGCTCCTGTATTCATAATGGGCAGCTCCACCCACTCACTGAGGTATTATTAATTTATTATTGTTGGCAGCCACGCTCATAACTTCTCCCCCTTTTAGTTTGTCAATGGCGGTACATTGAAATCCCTCATACAAGACGTCGAGAAGAATCCGTTTCCTCGCGAGCAAAGAATTCAACTCTCGCTGGACATGGCTATGGGAATGGAGTATCTCCATGACAACGGGATGCTTCACAGGTGGGCGTGGTTATAATAACTAGTTAATTAATTTATTAATAATATTATTTTTAATAGAGATTTTAACTCGCATAATTGCTTGTTACGGAAGGAAGGCGACAGATATACAGCCGTAGTTGCCGATTTCGGTCTTGCAACTAAAAACCCAAACCTGATAAAGTAAGGGAACGATATTTATACTAAGTCATGGTTACTTCTAATTATTCACGACTCTGAAATAATTTTGCATTTGTTCTTTTAATTAGAAAACTGAGACGTAACCAGTCAATGGTTGGTACACCTTATTGGATGGCTCCTGAGGTTCTTCATGGGAAGGAATACAACGAGAAAGCTGATACTTATTCCTATGGTATAGTACTCTGTGAAATAGTGTCACGCAAGGACGCTGATCCTGATGAAATACCTAGGAATAATGTAAGAGAGAGAGAGGCAGAGAGAGAAGTTTTAGTAACTATTGCAATCAAGCTTGTCTATTCCAGACACCTTGGTACCCAATAATACACTAGCTCCTGATTATGAACCTGTCCTTATTTCAGAGGTTCATTAATACACATTACTATTGTATTGGGACTGATACTACCTGTCCTCATTATAGAGGTGTCCTTATTTTAGAGTGTCCACAATAGCAGGTTATACTGTATTATTATTATTATTCCTGTGTTTTC